CACAGTGGGCTGGGAGCCCAAGGCCCTTGACTGCACTAATGCCAGGCCATCCCTGTGCTGGATCAGCTGTCCGGATCCCCGCCTGCTCCCTTACCTTCCAGGCAAGAGGCTGCCTCCTGCTCTGCCCTCCCACCCCAGCAAAAGCTCCTGTTTGATATGCACTCCAGCTGCTTCCCAACAGAGATGTTCCCTCTCTAACTGACATTTCCTTTGAAATAAGAGAAACGCAGCAGGCGCTAGACTCCCAGTGTGTCAACACGTGCAGCTCAGCACCTCCAGAGGTCCTGGGAGTCCTTCCAAACCTGCTGGATTGCTGTGGTTAATAAACTTTCAATCTCTGAGCAACAAAAGTCTTCTGCTTTCCAGGGGAGAAACCCCAAATACCCTCAGTCCTGCACTGCTTCCATCAGGTGGATGCTCATACACAGCAAAGCAAAAATAAAGCTGTAACTTGGGCAGGATCCACCCTCTTGCAGGAAGATTTATGCCACAGAGGCTTGGCTCCATATGGAACCATAAGCCACGTCTCCTCAACAGCAGCAGCCCACTAGGCCACGAGGTTACTGGTAGTCCTACTAACAAAGATAATTTACCCCACCCTCCTCTTTCTGTTCCTCTGCTGTCTTGCCACACTTCAGCAGACAGACCCTCTTCACTGTGCAAGATACAAAGCTGGTGGAACCATTCAGTGAATTATTATTTTAATATGAAACACTCAATTTGTCAAGACCAAGGAACAGTTGGTGTATGTATCTATTTTTAAAACATGGATTAAAAAAAAAAAAAATAAATTAGTGGACTTGTTTAGATGTCTGATTTCCAGTTCACAAATATTGAAGCTCTGATTTTTGGATTAGAGTAATTTTTCATTTAAAAATTCAAGCAGGTTGCTAGTAGGCAGGAGGGTGAGCTTGGAGAGGAATGCACCAGTTATATGCCCTGGATTTCAGCTGAATCATTTCCAAGATAGACTCTTTTTCCCCTATCTAAAATGGGAAACATCTGAGATTATGTTCCCAGGAATGGGAAATTGTGAAATCCATGTGGGATGGGAAATTGAGTGCCTAGCACATGGGGCCCCGCAGACATCTACAGATAAATGCAAGGGAAGATAGGAATGCTGGAAACTCACAGACAAACAGGGATTGAAATTACATGCTAATTTTTCTACAGCTAACTACTGGAACAAGTTTAGGGGATACATTGCCCAAATTTCATCCCAATTTCCTCTCATTTTGACAGGACTCAGATGGTTTTGGTGGTTTTATAAATACTTGCCTTACTGTACATAACTAACATTACACTACCAAGACACGCACAATCAAGTGCCTACATCCCACAGCTGTGCCTTCCTGCATTGGATCTCATTAAATAAGAGATTCATCTTGGCAGTTTGTATGCACAGCCTAGCACATGCTCCAAAGGTTCCTTCAGGGAACCCGGGCTTTATCAAAATCAGTCACAGAACAGAGCAGGTCTAGGATGTCACTCCCTGTTTCCACTGCCTTTAAGTTACACACATTTCCAGCAGTTGCATCTCCACATCATTTTTTTTTCCCTGCACATCTGGAAGAGAAACTAGAGCACTAGAGCATCCTCCAGTGAGACTTCTCCCAGAATGTGAACACCATCACATAGTTCAAACCACACTGCAGTTAATGTGAAGCCTTCTCTCAGATCCACACGTGAAAATATATCTCATGATACATTTTCAAATTACACACCAGGCAATTACCTCTCTCTCCACCCTTACCTTACGTAAGCACATCTCTTTTCCTCCTCTCTTGTGCCTCACTCACTCAACACAGAAATAGAAAACATTACAGTCCATCTTTTTGCTGAGACTGAGAACCAGCAACAGCCAGATCTAAACCACACTACCTGAAGCACAGTGGGAAACTGCAGGGGAATTTGCACTCTGAAATTCAGACACAGCACTTGAAGGGAGATTCATTTAGGGGTAGGCAACACAGAAATTACAGTGTTGCTTCTTGCACTTTTGCAACTCTCAGGCAAAGAGGAAAAGCGACAAAGGGCTCATTAAAATGCCATTCTGGACGGATAGTGGCAGAGGGGAGGAGGGGAAGTGATCAACACCAGTGTCTTGCTTTTAAAGCCTTCTGCACTGGATCATCAAATTAATCAGTTTGATGGTTTTGGTGCAGCTCAGCCCGCAAAGGGCCAAACATGGGAAAGCAGCAAGCTATATTTTATGTACAACTTGAGAAATGCTGACAGCACTGGGAAGGGTGGGGAAGAACAGGTACCAACAGAATAGGCAGCAGCTCACAGCAGAGCTGATGATGAAGCAAGAAGGATGACGCCAACTTCGGTTTGAAGTGAACAGCCAGTTCAGGGTGAAGGCTTTGGACTAGACATGGAGAGAAGCATTACAAGGCAGAAAAACATGTACAGCTGCACAGGGAAACCGCCCTCTGCTTCACAGGTTTTATTGTGGACAACCTTGCTGCAGCACATGGGGATTTATGGAAACCAAATAAGACACCAAGTCCCACTGACTGTCATTTTGTCTTGTGTCCCCACAAAACAAAGATTTCATGTTTTATCTCCCTTCCCTCTCACTGCAGGAATCCAGGCAGCTGATCGAATATGAAGATTCACCTAAGAAAGATACAAAACAGCCTGGGGAAAAGCCTTCATTTCACCAGCAGGTTCATTCACAGAGATCACGACACAGCACATAAGGGGGCCATTGTTTCGGGAATAAAATCTTCATTTGAGCTCTCTTCTTTGGCCATGATCAATGGGAGGGAATTAAAGTCTCATCCTGGGAAAAAAATTAGCTTGCTAACACTGTGTTGAAAGATTGGGTAATGGAGATGCAGAGCAAGTGTGGGCACCCACCTCATCTCTTGGAGAGCTTGAGAAAGCCAAAGGTTAAAGCCCCTGGTGGAAAAAGCTGCCCAAAGACAGGCACAGCCTCTATCATATCCTATGAGACAACCAAGCTAAGGGCTATGATTCGTAACAGGCGATGTCAGTGTTTCACAGTACTTCATCTCCCCACAGCTCCTCCCAGTGCTGTGGGCATTTAAATTCCCTGGGTGTTTACATGTTTGCCTGTTCAGCCTCTGCATTTTCTGTCCCATGCATGCACAACCCAATAACTTTGAGCTGTTCTGCACCTCCATCCTATCTAGCTAGCCCTGGGGTATTCTCAGAGCACCTACCTCCCACCCATCCTCCAGGCACCTTCTCATCTACAACAGGCAGAAACCCACAGCTCTCACCACTCAGTGGTGATGGGCAAGGTTTTTCCTCCCCACCTGCCAAGGGGTGGACTTCAACCCTCCAAGGCTCATCAGACTAAACACCCCACAGACAATCAACACTATTTCCATCACTGCCATAGCAACACAATGCCCACCTTCCTCCCCTCTCGGTTTCAGTCTGGTATTTTGGAATGCTAACAAAAAAGGGAATGTTTAAACTAGTAGTTACAGGTTCAAAAAGCAATGTCTGCTGCTTGGGCAACTATGGAGCATCACTGTCAGTCACTTTGGGCAGACATAAATCACACCTGCCTTCATCCTCTCCCAGGCCCACACCTCACATTGATTTTACTAGTAAAAGCAAACAGATTAAAAGCTATTTGCTGCCCTCTTCTGAGCAATCCCAAATTACGTGTCAATATGGTTGATGGCTCTGGAGATGGTCTTTCATTCAATGTGCAGAGCCCTGTTTCCATGCAAAATGAATCACACTGAAACGGCATCAAAGAGCTGTGACAGGGCAGGTTAAAAGGGTTCATCAGCTATTACAGACGAGGGCAGCAGATCAGTGCTACACAGTCTAAACCATTAGGTATCCACAGAGGGCATTCTTGGCATTTCAGTTTTATAACTCTCAGGTTAATCCTCCAATGTGGAAATAGAAAGGAATTCCTCCCAGCATATTCTGTTCTCAGTAATAACAAACGATTCAGAGCAGAAGCAGATCATGAGACATGTAAAGAAACAGGAAAAAAATGACTTGTAGATTTCAGAAGGTGATTTAGTGTTTTTTGGACTAAAACCACTTAAATCTTTTATGTCCTCCAGCAGTGCTCTATCCTGTCCTTCCAGGGAACATATACCTTTATCTAAGCATACAGTACATACACACATACTATCTTCAGAACAAATCTTAACACTGCAACCTGCTGCTTTCAAGGCATTTATCCAAGATAACTAATAATTCACAGAAACCTGTTAAAATAGACCATATGCTCTCCATCAAAGCCCTCTAAAATCAGGTTCATGAGCCTGAGGGAGCCTCAGTTTTCATATGCAAATATATCAAAAAAACAGTAAAAGCCATTTCTAAAATAGTTCTTCTCTCATGTACCCTAGGACAGACGAGATGTCCCATGATGTGGAATCAACACTGCTTTTCTTGGCACTCTCTCTGGGACGCCCTGCATACCTCAGTCCTGAAGGGAAATGAGTAGTTTGAAGAAGATCAGGTAGCCTCATCTTAATGACCATGAAAAATGTCTTTTCAATATGTAAGCAATGCAACAAATCCCAGATCAGGCTGCCACCAAGGCATCTATTGAATGTTCTCACTTAGGCTGATGCACAACATAGCTGTGACTAGGTGAGACTGGGATATGTCCTGCTTCTGCAGAATTTTCCTCCCTATGATCTCCAAACACTGCTTAATCCCCAGCTGTTGCACAGAATTGGCCTCAGTGACCAAGCCCTGCAGTGGATGATACAGCAAGTTGTTCTTTAGGTGTACAAATACGATACTTTCATCCCACATACAGGGTGCAGGAACTACGGGTCTATTTAAAACAACAAGGGTACATTCCCAGTGTCCAGTGAACTCAGACAATACGTAAGCAAGCACCTGCAGCAGTCTTGAAGCAAAACATAATCACTATCACCATAAGGTACAGGGACCGAAAAACTGGTTTTATGTGGGATTTGGGGCTAAAAGTCTCAGCTCCAAAATCAGCTTGCTTTGCTTTCAAGACTTACTTTACTCTGCAAAGCATGCACAAGTCACTGTACAGATATCTGAAAAACAGGGCATTTGAAAGATGGAAGAGCCAGTGTGCCCCCAACATTATTGACTGCACGTCAAAAGACCTAACTGTAGAAAAACTACCAGTTGCTTTCCGCCCTTCGGCTGAAATTATCCACCTTGGTTACAACAGGCTCACCTCTATTCCCAGTGGGCTCTTTGACAACCTAAAGAGCCTCCAGGTAGTCTACCTGCAGGGCAACCCTTGGGAATGCAACTGTGACATCCTTTACTTGCGCTCCTGGCTCCAGTGGCAGCAGAACCGGACCTTGTACAGGGATGTGAGATGCGCCTCCCCAGCTCACCTGCAGGACCGGATCATTGCCTATCTCACAGAAGACGAGATCATCTCCACATGCCAGTACTGGTACTGCAGCCTGGCTCTCGTCTCTCAGATCTGTCTCTTCATCTTCCTTTTCCTCCAGGGTATCTTGGTTATCTTCATCATTGTCTACCTGCGGAAATTTCGGAGAATGACCGCTGAAGCCCGAAGCACCACCCAAGATCTACACCAGCATGTAGATACTTGGGTATCTTCTTCAAGAAACCCCTACAACAGTGATTAACATCACAAGACTGAAGACCCTCCTCCCCCTTGGGTGATGCTATGCTGAGGTCATGTGGTTTGTGATATGCAGAGGGGACAGTTCAGTGCAGTGTCTGATCGTGACTGCAGTCCAAAGCAGGACTTGAACTGATCAGACACTTGCTGTATTTCCAAAGACCTGATCTTGTGGTTTTTAATGCTTTAAACTCTTTAGCATGATCTTGATTGCTTTGCTGAGCTTTGGTAGACTAGGGAGATCATAAACTACAGCAACCAAAACTGACTCGAACTGCTTATAAGCTTGTAGGGACTGTGGTGCTCGATCCCTCGAGCTA